CGCCAGCGCCTCCAGAGGCCCGTCCGCCGCTTCCGCGGGCGGCCGCTGCTGTGCGCATGCGCGGGGCCGTCGGCGCGGGCGGGGCGCGGAGGTTTCCCTGAGGTGAGCGGCGGGAGGTGTGGAGAGCGCTGTGGGCGTCTGCGCGGAACAGCCGGGTTTACTCGGATTTGTTTCGGTAATAAATTCGGTAACACGCTCTAGCGAACCCACAAGCGTCAGACGGCTGAGCGATGCCGGGTGTGCCCGGCGGTGGTTTTTGTTACCATCGTAAAATCGAGATACTACCGAGGGTGCTCACCCTGATGCTTTATTTTAGATTACATTCATGTAGCATTATGCTTGCTAATGAGGCCTAAAAGTATTCCTACTTGATGATAACAATTCAAGATTCTGAGGAATTAAGGAAGATGACACCTCTTCAGAGGACGCTCCTTGCCAGTGCGGGTTTTTGCCTGCAATATATTTTGGGTTCTTTTGTCCATCTCTTTGGTGAAATGGCCATCTAGGGGATTACAAATATTTTCTTGGTGAGGCCACTCCATAATTTATTCACCCTTTTTGCTAGTTCATATTCCCAAAGTTTGCATACAAGCAGGGTCAGTGTGTGATTACTCTCCGATGTACAGATCAATCAGTATCCAGAGCTTTGTTCTTGCCAGTGAGCTTTTCTCTGCGTGGCAGATTCTTTTCCAGTAGTTGCCATTTTGACAAACTATGTAACTTTATACATTTTCTCTTAAATCGGTACCGTTTTCTAATTGTCCCATTTAGAGTGACGAAAGCTATCGGTTGCTTTTGTAGTGGAATCAGTTTCTAGCAAAAATCGCAAGCTGTAATAACCAGTAAACATTAAAACAATGTTAAGTTGTATAATGTATTTCCTGATACACCACATTTTCTATAACAGTAGAGATGGCTCATTTCTCTTAGACACATCATCTACAGAGTTTCTTTCCATTGCTAGTATCCCTATGTGTGGTTACTTTTCCAGACTACCTGAACTGGAAAGTAATGCGCAGCTAGTAGGTAATGAGAGGCAGGATCTGGATCCCAGCTTTGATAGGGTTGCACTGAAGGCAAGGTTCAGAGCGACGCATAGGAACTGTCCGTGAGCCTGGCATGCGGGGTACAGCCACATTCAGCCGGTGGCACACTGCTGAGGGGACGGTCCAGGAGGTAGGCAGACTGCAGACTTCCCAAGAGGTCAGTCTATATTCTCATTTTCACAGCTGCATATGACTAGAGGTGAATAAATTATGTCTGTAAATAACTGAATTTGCTTCTCTTTGGCCTGCAAGTAAGCCTGTTCTTCAGAAGAGTCCTCTTCTCTGATGCTGTTACAAATTTAATCTAACAAGAGTTGAACTTCAGGCTTCTGATTTAAAAAAACCAAGAGGTGAGGTAGAAGACGCACAAATACAGCCAGCAGCAATTAGCAAAATAATGGGATAACATCTGTGTTCAGTGCATCTTAGCACCAAGTCTTTTCCAGAGGTACATGCTTTCAGAAGGCATTTTGGCTGTGCAAGGAGAGGACTGGAGGATTGCAATCTTTAATTTTTTTCAGAGCAGTTATTTGTCAGAATTGATGAGGGTTCCCAAGAAACTTTTCAGATGGCTGGTCTCGGTGGGACTGTGGGTCTTTGAGGTCCTGAAGCAACTGCAGGGAGCTGGGTTTGTACTGGCTGCCTGAAGTGTGGAAAACACATTTTGTGAACTATTTCATGGCTTAAGACAACTGGTATTTCTAAACTGGTTCTTTACCGTTTTTAAACAGTTGCTAGCATTTATACATACATATAACTTTCTCTGCTCCTCCCTCTCCCTTTTCCTCTCCCTCTCCCTAGTAGCATTTACATGTCCCATTATGCTGTTTTCTATACAAGCAGTAAAACAGCATTTCTCCTTCAAGCATTTAATCTATTATATCTCATATGATGCTGCATGAAAAATCCTCCTAAGCAGGACATGAGGCATTAGGAACTTCGCTTACAATGATGCAGCAATGTAAACACAGCAAACATGAAGAAAAGAAGGTTTTAAATACTACAAACCTCGGGCCAGGAAAATGCGATATGGTAAAAAAATCAGGACTTGACGTGGCAGGCTGGAAAAGATGTTACAGAAAATCAAGATGAAAAAACTCACAGATTTCAAAGTGTGGCTAAATATTCGGTATTAAGCTAGTGGTATTTTAGAACTCATTTTCATTTCCTGTGACATTCTTCGTATTCTCTTGCAACATTTTTTTTTGATAATTTTTATTTTATTTTATCAGAACCAGATCCACAGCTTGGCTAAGTAGCTTCTCTGGTATTTGGCCACAGAATTCAATCTTTGGCTGTTCTGCTAAGTAGCAGCCTGTTCCATCCCGTAGTACAGCCCGTGTTGACAGGGCAGGCAATAAAGCTCATACTTACCCATACAGAAATCCTGTCTAACACATTATAAATTATCATAGAAACGTTTAGGTTGGAAAAAACCTTTAAGATCATTGAGTCCAACCGTCAACCCAACGCTACCATGCCCACTAAACCATGTCCTGAAGTGCCTCGTCTACATGTCTTTTGAACACCTATCTTAAATCTTTGAACACTTATACTTGGAAATTCAAACAGTTTTAACATATCAAAAAGCTACAAAGTCATCAGTAACTATATTAGAGAAGAGGCAGTGTATAATTTGGATTACTTAACGTGAAATAATGCAAGTATGCATCTATCTTACCTGATTATTTCTTGTGTTATGACTTGGTCTGTTGTTTTGCTTTGGTTGCTCCACATTGTTGTCCCTGAAATAAAAACCACATCCATCAGGCAAATCCCTGTTTGGTTTAACTACCTTCAGGGATGCAATGTTTTTCAAGGGACGAGGCTGTGAGAGACTGAAAGAGTTAATGTCTCAAACATTGTAGTGGGGCAAGTTCTGCTTAAAGATGAACTCTGCCCAGCAAGAAACCAAGGTGAAAAGCAGCTGCTGAGCACCCATCAGCACAGATATCAGCAACAGGCTGGGGAGGGTGTGCTGGGGGTGCTGCGCAGCTCCCTGTTCTGATAAGCTGTTCGGATACAAAGATCAAACAACGGTCACATCTGCAGGGAAGGGGAGGTTACTTACCAAAGGACCCCCAAGCCCACTGACCCATTTCCCAAAGGTTACACCTAATCAGCCTAATGAGTTCGAGTGCCTACCCGAAGGAGGGGCAAGGATGATAAAAGGGCACGAACTGAAGCACCAGGTGGGCAAGGCCACCAGAACTGGACCCCTCAGCTGACAGGAGCAATGCTGGACCCAGGACCATTGAAATCTTTTTCTTTCCCTTTTTCTCTCTCTGTCTTATTCTCTCTTTCCTTTTCCACAATCCCTACACCTCATCCCTTTAAGACATAAACCTGTTGACCAAGTCTGGGACTAGGAGTGGATCCAGCCGCCCCCAGGCTCCTCTCTGAGAAGTAGTCTAGAAAGCAAGGGGGTCTGCTCTGAATCTCCTGACCCAACGGGAGGGAACTTATTCCCTGAACTGATGTATATGGTTACCCCAGGTTACATGGTTTACTGAGGTAATTTCATGCCAGTTCCTGTTGTGAGAGACCCCACAACCTACTGTTACACCTCTCAAGTTCAGGCTGCTTCTGCCATGAATAAAATGTTCAACTGATCATTTGGTGTGGTTTCACCTTAATTTAGCCCGAGGGAATTCCGAATTCAACAGGACTCCCTGGTCTGTCCAGCCCGGGGCCGTGACAGAGGCTACAGCTCAAAGATCTGGATTCTGTTTCTGACTCTGCTCCTTTCTGGTCTTGGCAAATAATTTCAATGTGCTATGCCCCTGTGTCCATGCAATACAGTTATCAATAACAATTAGGAAAGTGCGATGTATTTTGGGAAAAAATGCTTGAGAACTGACAACTGGAGTATGTGGATTAAACTACCTAATAGCAGGGTACTGGCTATTAAACTACCTACTAATACTATTAGCAGGGAAGTCTTTTTCTTTTAGGAGGTATGGAATTTTTTGAATAAATAAAGAATCTACCTGGCTTGCTAAAATAATCTGGAGCATGCTCTCAAGTGTTGAAATACGCATTTGTAATAAGTACAATACCTGTGTTGTCTTCTACTTTTCCTGCAAAACTTTCTTCTTATTGCATCACGCTTAATTACTGCTAATACAGTAATGATTACTAGTGGCAACACAAGGAGGAAAAAAATAAGCAGACCATCCCGAAGTGATGTATCTAGAGAAAAAGAATTGAAATCATGTAAGAGAGTAATCTTGCTTAACCTCATATTAAAGCATTTTTTCTGCTAAAAACACCTTTCTGTTGTAAAAACTACAATCTTCAAATTATTATAGATTAAAACTAGTAACTCCACTGAAATTTGTAAAATGCTATGATCAGAAAAGTACGATTTGGCCTTATGTTTCTGCCTTACTCACCCCATGTTGTATGATATACGAACTTTTTCCTTTTCCATATATTTTTTCAAGAATTCTAAAGCAGACAAATTCATTTTTCATTTGCTTACTCACAAGTGATCTGCACATCTTCTTTGTCTTCCTAAGCTATTAATAAATACAAAACATTTGCATGGTCTCTCAGTGTGAAGGCCAGCAAAATCTACTCCATTTTCCCTTTGTAGAGTTTCATGGCTCTTACACAAGCCAACTGCTGCTTGCTGCATGCACCTTCTTAACCCCTCTTGTTGCTGTGAGACCCTTCCCATACATAAAGGCTGCAGGTTTCATTCTCAAGCTATAGTCTTCCTCTACGACATCCATTTTATCAGAACTCTGTTTTAAATACCTAAGTAAATATCTAAATATCTAACTATTTAAAAAATGTAACAGTAATTCTAAGCAACTAATGTATTGCTTTTTCTCTCGGACAAAACAGAGGTCAATTTCTCCCTTGGACCAACTTCCTTGATCTCTGTTTCTTCTTCAAGTCAGTCCATGATTAAGTGTCCCATGCAGTAGAAAAAAAA